TCTCTGGTAACCAACAAAGAAAGTTTTCTTCTACATGTAAACCTTTCCCTGGCTTTTTACAATAGTGTACTAATACAATATTTGTACTTCTGTGATTGACTTATTTCACTCAGCATAATGTCCTCCAAGTTCATAAATGTTATGAGGTGTTTTGTCGATTTTACATTATTCTTTAGTGTTGTATGGTATTCCATTGTGTGTATGTACTGTAGTTTGGCTATCCATTCCTCCATTACTGGGCACTTAGATTGTTTCCATCTTTTTGCTATTGTGAATAGTGTTGCAATGAACTTGGGTGTGTACATATGTATTAGTGTCCTGGATCTCACTTTTTTAGGATATGTACCTAGTAATAGGATTTCTGGATTAAATGGCATTTCTATTTCTAACTTTTTAAAGAATTGTCATATAATTTTCCACAGTAGCTGTGTTGTTTTACAGTCCCACCAGCAGAGTATGAGAGTCCCAATCTCTCCACATCCTCACCAGCGCTTGTTATTTTCTATCTTATTGAATTTTGCTATTAGTGCTGGGGTGAGATGGAATCTCATTGTTATTTTGATTTGCATCTCTCTAATGGCTAATCATTACAAACATTTCTTCATTTGTTTCTTGGCCACCTGAATATCTTCTTCAGTAAAGTGTCTGTTCATGTCTTCTGCCCATTTTTTAATTAGATTGTTTGTCTTTTTGATGTTGGATTTTTCCACAAATTTTAGAGATAAGTCCCTTGTTGTATATGTCATTATCAAATATTTTTTCCAATCTGTAGGCTTCCATTTTACTCTCTTATAGAAGTCTTTTGATGCACATAAAATTTAATTTTTAGAAATTCCCAGTCATCTAGTTTATCTTCTGTTGTTTGTATATTTTTACTTACGTTTGGTAGTCTCTTTATGCCATATGTTAGGGCCACATAATAACAACAACGTTTGCCCCTATTTTTTCTTTGATGAACTTTATGGTTTTAGGTTTTACATTTTTTTTGATCCATCTGGAGTTAGTTTTTGTGTATGGTATGAGGTATGAATCTTGTCTCATTTTTTTGCAAATAGATAGCCAGTTTTAGCAGCACAATTTGTTAAGGAGACTATCTCTTCCCCCATTTAATGTATTTCAACCCTTTGTCAAAGATCAATTGACCATAGGTGGATGGATCTATTTCTGAGTTCTCAACTCTGTTCCACTGCTCTATTGCATGTCTTTGTACCAATACCAGGCTGTTTTGATTACTGTAGCTGTATAGTAAGTTTTGAGATCTAGGAGTGTGAGACCTCCTACTTTGTTGTTCTTCTTCTTTGCTTATCCGAGGACTCTTTCCTTTTCATATAAAATTAGTGATTGATTTTTCCATGTCCTTAAAGAATGTTGATAGAATCTGGATTGGGATTGCATTGGATGTATAGTTTCCTTTGAGTAGTATTGGCATTTTCACAATGTTCAGTCTTCCTATCCATTAATTTGGCATGTTCTTCCATTTATGTAGATCTCTTACAGTTTCTTGAAGTAGTGTTGTGTAGTTTTCTTTGTAAGTCTGTAAACTTTACAGGAGTAGATTGTCTCATCTTCCTCTGGCAGAGCAACTATTGGCTTTGAACCACTGACCTGGTTAGCACCCAAATGCCTTACTCACTGCACCAAATTTGATTGACTGTTGGATCTGTCATCCAGATATCTGGACATGAAAATTCAGATCCACTAGCATCTCTTCTTTAAACTACAGCCTTGTACCTAATGTTACTGTTCATTTCAGCACCACCTTCAATCAAGCTATATATGTCAGACTCTGGCACCCTCCTGGACTATTAGGTCAGTCTCAAATATTATGTTTTAATTTGTTTCAAATATGGTTTGGTTGACCCAGATACTTGACCTTACCTACAAACGTCTCATTGTTCCAATTATCCCCCCTCCTCCTCCTGCATAACAGAAAACTGGATTGAACAAGTTAATCGATTCCCTTCCCTTGCAATGATACTAAAAATGATATGATTTGTGTCCCATATGGGTATGTGTTTTTGTGTATAGGATCCAATGATCCCACAGACAAAGAACAAAATCCAAACAATGAACCTCATGCCTGGGCACTACCTTCATTGCATGGTTGGAGATTAATTGGTCAATGCATATTAGTCTTTTTTAGGAGTTCTTTTGAATACCCACTCCTATAATGAAAGTATACATTGAGCTAATAATCTGAAAATTCTCATTTGAAATAAGAGAGGCTGTTTACCTAACTCATATAACCTAATAGCTGAAAAATCTGGTATAGAGTGGGTGTTCCTCTGAGCACTTCTACCCAATTATGCTATTCCTCAGCTTGAAAAATCTATCCACAATTTATCTGCTGCAGTGGCTTAAATTGCTAAAGATATTGCAGATGGAATGTCAATACAACAAAAAATCTTCAGAATCTCTTGCTAAGGTTGTGTTAGGAAATAAAATAGCTCTTGAGGTTCTTCTGGCCCAACAAGGAAGAGTTTGTGTTATTGCCAATATCTTATTTATTTGTTGGTTTATTTATTTGTTTATTGATATTGTGATTTGAGTGAACATTTACAGAGTAAATTCATTTTCCATTCAACAGTTCATACACGTTTTGTTTCATGACATTAATTGCAATCCTCACAATGTAACAGCTCTTTCCATTTCCTGCCTGTGGTTACCTTTCCCTGTGTCCTTCTTCTATGCATTCCTACCCTCTGAGCTATCTCCCTGTGCAAATGTGGCCCTTCTGATCTCCCATGGTTGATTGTTCCAAGGATTGTACCTACCTGTTGTAATTGTTCTCCTTGTAGACATATCTATTGTTTGGTTAGATTGTCGATACCTCCTGCTGAGCTTGGATAAATAATGCAGGAGAAGTTGAACAAGATATCAGAAAATTTCACTGGAAAGCTATTTGGTGGCCTTCAAATCCTATGTCAAATTTCCTCTTTTTAGATATTTTTAGTTGGTTACTCAATAGTACAACAACATAGTTGTGCTCTATACTGCAGACTGCATTAATCATTTTCATTATGATAATTATTTATTATAGGATTAATTAAATGCTTTATAAAATGTTTGTCTATTGCTTTTAACCAAAAAGGACACACACAACTTACTATGCAGAAGGAGCTCTAGCTATGATAGCACTGTGGTTAAAGCATTGGTCTGCTAACCAAAAAGTTTGCAGTTTGAACCCACCAGTTGTCCCACAGAGAAAGATTAGGCAGTTTTCTTCTGTAAAGAATTACACCCTTAGAAACTCTATGGAGAATTTCTACTCTGTCTGATAGACAGAGCTGGAATCAACTAGATGGCAGTGGATTTGGTTTGTTTTTTGGTTGCTATGAGTTCTTGTGGCTTAGTAGAAAAAGTATTTGGCTGCTAACCAGAAAATCAGAAGTTCAAACCTACCAGCCACTCCATGGGAGGAAGCTGGGACAATCTACTTCTGCAAAGATTTACAGCTTTGAAAACCCTAAGGGGGTTGCTATGAGTCAGAATCGACCCAATGCCAGTGAGTTTTGAGTTTGTATGCAGATAATTATATATCTTGAAAAAGTATGTAGTAACCAGCTTAAGTGATCCTTTCTGCAAGTTCAAGGTAATTTTTTTTTTTTAATCTTCACTAATGACTAACTTGTTTAAAGAAATCTCTGTTTCCCAGAATATTTTGTTTTTACTTGTATTGTCTGAGCACTGCTTGAATTTGTTCCTCCAGTGTATCCTGCTCTGCTGCAATAACCCCAATATAACACACTCTGAAGCTGAAGTCTATTAGCTAGGTAAGATGAAGAAAAACAATTTTATCAAAACAAACAAAAGCACTTTGAGGAAGACAGACAGAGTCCTTGCAGAAGAAAGGCTACTCCACTATGGGTGATTAATGCTCCTTATCGGGGACTTCATCAAAAGTGAGAATTGTGCTAGCAGAACTTCAAATTAGAGAAATTCAGACTGAGCTGAATAATGAGTTAACTCAGAGCTCTTTGGGGCAAACAACAAATGAGGGAAGACTATGAGGTTGTTCTTTTTCTGTGAAGAATGTTCCAGGAAATATGAGATGAAGAAGTTTTCAAAAAGTGCTTCCAGCACCTGTCTTCAGAAATTATGCACTTGACTGATAATAGAAAAACTGTAGTCACACTAGAGTTTGTGTATAAAACTCACTTTTGCCTCATGTCCAGTGGAGCACTTTGTATTTTCACTTGGTGCTGTTCCAAGTCAAGCTGTAATACTCCTCATAAAACTCAAATTTCTTTTCTGCTCCTAACAGAGCAAAGAATTTTATTCTTTGACAAAACATAACCTCCTCTCTCTCTCTCTCTCTCTCTCTCTCTCTCTCTCTCTCTATATATATATATATATATATATATATATATATATATATAGTAAGTGTGTGTATAGTTGTCACAAGAAAAACCTTACAGCCAATATTCACTTGCCTCACAAATGGGGCTATATATCTAATAAGTTTGAAGATAGTATCTGGTAGTCACATATTGGGATATATACAGGAAGTTTTAGAGTACACTTACTAGGCCATGAAGAAGAATATTTGAAACCAGGAATCTTTCAAAAAGTTTGGAATTATGGTCTCCCACTCCCATACGTCCACATTATGACATCTTATTCATTCTCCCCTATCCATTGTCAGCTTTCTCATATTGCCTCTTCTTCTTTCTTTCATCTTCCTTGCTTGGATGGTAACCACACTGCAGTAGATTTTGGGAAGAAAAGTGCACTTCCGTGGCCATTAGGTTCAGAGTGATGCATAGTAGATAAATGAGATAAATTATATCAATAAAAAAAAAAAAAAAAAAAAAAACTTGCTTGTGAAGACTCATTCATATGTAGGAACGGGGTTGTGAAGTTAATTTAGTTCTGAAGATGACCTTTGAGAAATTTGAGGATTAGCCTTTTCCACATGGCTGCTGAATGGGAATAGGAAGATAGATGGAATTAGATATTTAGTTATGGAAATAACTCCTTTTTGTACCTGGACCTCTTACTCAGTGTTGCCTAGAAAAGAAGTTCTTAAAGGCACTATTGTAGTTCTTGTTGAAAGCTGTGTAGATCAGGGGGTTAAAAAAGGAATTGGAGTAGCCAAGCCAAAGGAAAATGCTTTTCCAGATGGCAGGGATATCACATGAGCAGAGGGGATTGATGAGCTCGGTGATGAAGAAGGGGATCCAGCAGAGAACAAATACCCCAATGAGGATGCCCACCATCAAAGCAGCTTTCTGCTCTTTCTGTTCCCTCCATGTTTCTCCTTCTGTCTGGAAGGTGACAGTTGCATGGCGGACAGTAAACACCATCTGGGGCTGCTGAGCAGAGTCTTTTACCTGTAAAAGATAAGCAGAAGCTTTACAAAGATCCACCTCTTCATAACCGGCCAGTTATGGGAATGAATGAACCTAGGCACTTATGGGCCTGGATCCTGTCATTCACTCTCAGAAGAGGCCCTCAATTGTCAGGTATGGGAGCCTGGCAGACTTATGGGAAAAGGGCAATGGTGACAGAGCTGGGTTGTCTGCATCCATTTTAGAAATGAAAAGGAAACTGAAGCAATACAATGAAGGTAGTGAAATGGATTCATTATTGCTCTCTGTTCAATAGGGGATATGACATCAACAGACCATGCCACATATTCAATTTAGGGAAAAGGGGAATTAAAAGTGAACTAAATCCTTATTAAATCTTATTTGCAAAAACCCTTATAAACAAACCACATATAGGGAAGAGAAGGGCAATGTACCAAACGTGAGTGATCAACATGGTGGCATTGAGGACGAGGAAGACAGAGAGGTGCATGGGAGGTACAGACAACAAAGTTGAACCCTTTTGCACATACAGTACTGCATTGTCAATGATGGCAAACATTGATTTATGAGTAGATAGATGGGTGGACAGGCTGACTGATTAGGTATGTGTATGTAAGGTGGAGTGTGCCCATGACCATGTACAGGGTTGGCAGACAATGTTTTTACAAATGTATTTGTATGTTGTATAAAAATTTCTAGGTATATAGTAGAGCTGACAAGGGACAAGGTTGTAGTCACTTCTTGGCCACAGCCAGCTACCCAGAGGGAGGGAGTAGTTGCACCTGTGGGCTCAGGACCATGGATACAGGGGACATCAAGCTCAGTTGGCATAGCATACTACACAAAAACATTGTTCCACATCCTACTTTGGCAAGTAGCAACTGGGATCTTAAAAGCTTGCAAGCAGGCATCTAGATGCAATGATGGGTCTCTCCTTGTCCAGAGCATAGAAGAATGAAGAAAACCAAAGATGCATGGAAAAAATTAGTCCAAGCAATTGGTACACCATACAATCCTCAGCCTATATGACTATGAGACCAGAATTAGATGGTGCCTAGCTACAGCTACCACTGTCAACCACTTGGTGGGGGATCTATATAGGAGATCCTGGATAGAGTGGGAGAA